CAAGACTGAAGTTAAAAAAAAAAAAAAAGGGAAATAAGAGACAGGTGTTTGTGTTCGTTCTTCTTTCATTTGTTGTTTTTCTCCCTCATACCTCCTGTCTTCGTTTCCCCCCACCCTATTCTCGCCCTCTTCCCCCTCACCTGCTTTCCTGGTTCTATTCGTTTTTCCGCTCCTTCGGCTCTTTCATCCTCCTCTCCCGCTTCTCTAGTTATTTTCTCCATGCTCCCTTTTTGTCTTCCCTCTTCTTGATCCTTTCCTCTCTTCTCTTCTTCTCCTCGTGTCCTCTTTCAATTTTAATCCCCCTTCTGATTCTATCCTCTCTTCCCTTCCGTCACCGTATCTTGCCATCGCCATTGTCCAGGTGTGTGCCGCCTCTTTTAATTTTAATCCCCTTTCTGATTATATTTTCTCTTCCCCTTCTTCGCTGTATCTTGCCATCGCCACCGTCCAGGTGCACCCCCTCTTTCAATTTCAATCCTCCATCTGATTGTATTTTCTCTTCCCCTTCTCCGCTGTATCTTGCCATCGCCACTGTCCAGGTGCGCTTCCTTTTTTTCAATTTTAATTCACCTCCTGATTATATATTCTCGTCCCCTTCTTCCATCCAGGGGTTTCCTCTTTCAATTATAGTCCCCCTCTGATTATATATTCTCTTCCCCTTCTTCGCCGTACCTTGCCATTGCCACCGTCCAGATGCTCTTCCTCTTTCAATTTTAATCCCCCTTCTGATTATGCATTTTCTTCTCCTTCTTTGCCGTATCTTGCCATTGCAGCTGTCCAGGTGCGCTTCCTCTTGCTTCCTCACCTTGTTTTTGCTCTCCCCTGAATCCCTCATTCCTCCTCCCCTTCTCCATTCCTTGGGTCTCACTCCACTACTCGCCAAATATCCGAAATGAGACTGAATCTTCCGTTAGAACATGGAAAGATACATCACCATAATTTTTGTCGTTTGTGCAGGTGGCGAGTCGTGGAGCGAGGTCGCTTATCGTGCTCTTCCCTTGTCTCTTCTCCTTGTCTTGTTCCGTCTCCCCGTCGTCATTTCCCCCCC